GCTTAGCGCAGACATCCATTTCAGAGCGTTGTAAGTCAGATGATACGATTATCAAATCGATCATCGGCTTTTGTGTGCAAGCTTCTGTGTACCAGGTGTACTGATGGTGTTCAATGAAGAAGTCCGTTGTTCATAGTAGACACAAACATCAGTGCGATAGTCCTTGATGATGCCAAAATGGTGAAGGTTAGGGTTGCACCATAAGCTGGTTGAAGAAGGGTTCTACAGTGAATTGTGCCGACAACCGTCGTGATGATGGTTGCGATGTTTTGTTCGGTTTATTTTAAAAGATTAGCTTCAAAAATTGTTTGTATTACTTGATCTGTAATTTGCCTAAATCATTTGCATCGTGTTTTTATAGTATGTTTTGTACACGCTTATAATATTTTAGATGTGATCTATGGATTTCGAAAAGTGCTTTGAATCTCTCCCTACATCGTTATGTAGCCATCCGTCGCAACCGCTTTTCGCTGTTGGACTTGTTGACGGCAGCGTTGGTGTCTACAACTACAAGCAGGATGTGGCAGCCGGTGCTAGTGAGGAGGCGATCACTGAGGTATGGCTGAAGAAGCACAAAGCGGCAGTGAGAAAGGTTCGCACCAGTACGAACGGTTCGTCGCTTCTGACTATCACCAAGAACCGAGCTTTGTGTCTGTGGGATACGGAGACAGGCAGTAAAAAACGCTGTATCCGACGCTCCCATGACAGATCCCCGTACGCGCTTTGCGTGATGGACGAAAATAACATTGCTACAGGGGACGAAGAGGGAGTCGTGCGCCTGTGGGACTGGCGTAGTCAGCGACCGTGCATCGCTTCCATGCATGACAACTCGGACTATATAACCGATATAGCCGCCGACCCGTCGCGCAAGACTCTATTGGCTACTTGTGGCGATGGCACTCTCTCCGCCTTCAGCACCAGCAAACGCAAACTGATCATTCAATCAGAAGTCATGCAGTCAGAGTTGCTATCCATCGCCATAGTGCTCAATGGTAAGCAGAAAGTTTTTAATTTCTTTTTCTTTGTAAGTCCAAAAATCAGTTGAGATTCATATTTGAATAATAGGCCATCAAAGAACGTTTCTTAGCATATGTACATGATTTTCGTATGACAAGAAACACGGAAATACGTACAAAGAGCACAGTATCATTATGCAGACGTTCAAGACCGTCAGTTGATGTGTAATGTTTCAGTATATATCGACTGGCTGCTTAGCGAAGCAGTTAGCCATATGGCTGACGGCTGTTTTCCATGAAGCTTCAGTTCTAGAAGCGTCTAATTTGGAGGGAGAATATAAGTCCTTCCTGGAGGAAATGTAAGTTTTGTGTAGGATCCGTCATTATAATGGACGATTTCAGTACGCATATGGGAGCACACACTAAAGAGTGGAAATTCGTGATTGAAATGAACTGCCCTAACGATCTCAACAATAACAGCATGAAATTGTTGCGGTTTTGTGCAAACAACGGATTGTCTACTATGAACACGTACTTCGAGCATCGAATCATCCATCAGTATGCATGGTACAGGAAGCTTGTGCACAGAAGTCGATAATCGACTTGATAATCGTATTGTCTGACTTAGCGACGCTAAGTAATGGATGTTACAGTTAAGATAGGCACAAAGCTACCGACCACTCATTACTTTGTCGTTGGCGCCCTCCTCCGTTGTAAGCAGTAGAGTTCCGTGCGAAAGCCTAGTGGCAGAAGCATCTATATAATCAAATTGGAAGCATTATCTTCTGCTGATACGCGAGCAAACCGTGTAAAACAGCAGCATACTGCAGTTTAAACAGATTCCGTTGCGGTGGAAACTGCGTGGAGGCTCTTTAAGTGGTGCTTCCTAGGGAAAAGTTGGTTTGCCTGCCGTCTGGAGGTAAGAAACGAAAGGGGGCAACAAAGGTTCAGCTGGTTGCCAACGTGAAAAGGTTGCATTCAACAGGTGGTTTGGAAGCAGCGAGCCTTAAACTCGAATGCAGTATGAAAAAGCGCCCAAGGTTGCAACCAAAGCTGTGTTCAGACCATAAGCTAATTCCTGGAAAAACTTCCGTGAGTTGCTGAAGTGGAATTTGCTGACGGCAAATAAGTTATTCTGGAAGACCATCCGCCGCCACCAAAATGGAAATTAGAATAGTCTGGCAGTCCTGAATGACAACCACCGATGCCGTATTACCAAGGAAGAGGACATACTTCGGCGATGGCAGGAGTTTGTAAGAAAATCCTTAACATTGAGCAACCGCAGAAAGAATGGCCTGAAGAGCAGAAGAGCAGTAGGCAACAGATAATAGTCTGTCAGTAGATAAACACAGAAACAGCAAAATGCTAGAAAACTGACAAGACTACTAGAATCGATGAAATTCGTCATGAGATGCTTCAGATTTTGAAGAACAAGCAACATTATCGCTGTCACGTGTGAGTGAAAGTGCAGTGGCTACGGACAAGACACAAATGGACTGACGAGCGGACGTTGTAGTACCCCTATTCAACAGAGGCGAATTATCTGGATATTACCATATTGAACCTTCCCTAAAAAGTCAGCGCAGGTCTACGGTATTTAAAACGAGGTGCCGCAGAATAACTGACTGGAAAATACAAGAAGTGCAGTGTGGCTTCCGGCCTGGTCGGAGCACTTCTGACCATATATTCGCTTTACGCCAGATTGTTGAGAAATCGTGGCAGTACGCCCGTCCGGTGTACATGTGTTTTTGGACCTAGAAAAAGCCTATCACCGGATCCCACCCAACAGTCTCTGGTCATGCCTTCGAGAATACGTGTTATGATATAATGGCCAGCAGCTAAGGGCCATCCAATCACTGTATTCTGATAGCAGGTACTGCGTCAGAGTAAATGGCGTTAAGTCGAAATCATTCAGCGTTCGCACTTGTCTCACCCAAGGCTGCGTCCTGTCCTCTATCCTGTTTGTGTTGTACATGGATAGAATAGTCAGGAGCTGCCTAGGCGATGAGTGCATCAGTGCAGGAGATGGGAAGACAAGAAGGTTGCTGTTTGCAGACGACCTTGTTTCATTAGTATCTTCCGAAACTGATCTTCAGTGCTCCCTTGAAAGGTTCGCATCCGAGTGCGATGTGACAAACATGCGTATGCGTGTGAACGCATCTAAAACGAAAAGCCTAGTGCCTTCTCATTCTCCCGCCCGTTGCTCTCTTCAGATTAACGGAGAGGCAGTGGAGCAGGTCTAGAATTTCAAGTACCTTGGAGTCTTGTTTACTAGTGATGGAAAATTTCAGGAAGAGATCGACCGTCGCATTGGAATAGCCAGCGGCATTCTGTGTGAACTTGCGCGACCCATAAAGGATAAGTGAGTCTGAAGACTAATCTCCTCGTGTTCAAGCTGATCTTCATCCCCATGCTTTCCTATCTTCATGAGCCGTGGATTATGTCTGAAAAACTTAACTCCGCCATGACCGGCCCCAAGCCCGGATGAGAAAGGAGGAGGGTTGGAGACCGTGGCAAGTCTCCGTAAAATTCAGCCAC